ATGTGGAAGGTTTGTTTATGTCATTGATTATGGAAATAAAGAAAGATTCTATAACCGTAAGTTATGACATTTATTATTTACAATTCTGTCGTTGATATATTTTTAATGTAAACAGTAGGACAATTACAATGTAGGTAATTTTTTTGTATAAATTTGGCGGCTTTTTGTTTATAAATTCGATATATTTAACAAGTGTTAAGATTAGGTTGAGTAGTACATCTTCCCGTTGCGAAGCACGGGTACAGCAGCTAGTGTAATTATAAGTTTTAAGTTTTCAAGTTTGAACAAAAACCAGTGAAGGTGGTTTCGCTATGACATTTGTATGCCAACTTCCACCTTAAACGCTGTATTAATATTTTACATAGTTACTAATTTTACATCTTCATAAAACCTCTGAAAAAAGGTTTAGGAGTAATGCATAAAACGTCAAATATTCTCCCAGACCGCAGAGCAGGGTAATGCTATCACAAGACGGATGACTGGATTGCTCTCTTCCATCTTGACGAAGAGTTATTGGGCAAATAACGTCAGAAACTTTTATAACTGGAGAGGAATTGGCCATTACCACGTCCGCGCCGTGGCGGGAATGGGACGCGTTTTGGAGGGAAATAAAATTGTTTTGGATGAGATTTATGATTAGCTTTTTGCTTTCTTATAATCTCATGACAACTCTTGTCACTGTTCATATCGTTTTTCGTCATGTAAAGGTGGTGTGTGTTTTAATGTGTGTTGTATGTGTTGTAATTACTTAGTTTATTATAAGTTAAATATTATCATTATTTCTTTCATGAAAAGGCTTTCATGTAAAAACATCAAAACCTGAATTGAAGTTAGACACGAATAATTTTATTGTATTAAAAAAAGTCATACAGGCAATGTAGTTCAGTTATGACAGTTTCTTTTTTTCGTAGATATAAAAAGAAAATAATAATTAAATATCTTTACAACAAAGTGTAAAAACTCTTTTTCGTTTTTTCAAAGAGTTTACGTATTGAACTTCCATAAATCATAATCACCATTTATTAAAAACTTACAAACATTTTACCCAAGCACTTTCAATCATACAGTACACGGGTTATCATGCGTGACCCTGGAGATGATGTTTATGCTTATGTTTCTTGGAGAAAATTTAGGTAAATTATTCAACCAACGACCCACGCCACGACACCCATCAACGCAAACACATTTCTCGGCCACACTTTACCTCTAAGTACTTATCTCGTTTGTGACTTAATCAGTATTTTTCTCATCTAATGTGTGATAGTGTGTTGTTAGACCCAAACATGTTTTCATATTATCCCTTTTAATTGGTTTATGAAACAGGGAAAGGGTTCAGAATCAAAGTGTTATAAAGTAAGAAATCCATCTATATATTAATAGGCAAGCATATTTCTTTAAAACCTTTTTTCTCAGCTCTTGTGCATCACAGGGAAAATATACGCATACTGTTAGAAAGGTATTTTCCTGTAGGTGTGCAGAATCCCTTTAAAAATTAAAATAGGCTCAAATATAAGCACAACAAAATAATTTGAAATTTTAAAAAAATTACATGGGCTTTATGGGTTGACATGCTGGTGACGAAATAACAACGAAATATAAACAGAAAATCAAAACAAATGGAAGAAATTAATTACAATCACATGTTTTATTTACAGCGTGGGGTGAAAATAAAGAAGCCTGTAACTTTGATTTACAACTAGATATTCCATCCCAATGTTAAAGTTGTCGCCAGTAAAATTAAATTCGTCGTAGTTGATGTGAGCCGCCAACAGACTGCGCTGATCTAAATGACTAATTTCTGTTGAATACACGATGTTTTTTACCAAGTCAAACTTATGGAATGACTTATTATGAGCTATGGCTACTGTTATGACCCATCAACTTTGTAAGCAACAAAAAATTAGGTAGAAAATATAATTTTAGACACGCACTCTGTGACTGGCTCACATAACTACATGTTTTTTTAAACTTAAAAATGGCGACAGCTGGTCCATATTGAGGCGTCGAGAGGCCAAGGGAGATATGTGACTTTTTAAAAAATGTTGTCATGGTAACGGGTTTTGTTAAAAAAGGTTGGAATTTCAACAAATAATTCACTTATATCCCTTGGCCTCCAAACTAAACACCTAAGAGTTGAAAGCCAAGGGGTATAAGTGAATTTATTTTTATTTTTATTTATTTTTTTATGACCATGAAAAAAATACAATGACATTTTTAAAAAAGTCACATATCTCCCTTGGCCTCTCGACGCCTCAATATGGGAGATCTACTTCCGTATCCAATAGTCAATGGGTGTACATTATATATTTTTGGTCGAATTGTCGACCACTGGACGACCACTAGTATTTTTTAATATTCTAAGAATCCCATTATTAGAATAAAGAAATATGTTTTTTATAGTGATAAAAAGTATTTAAAAATATAGTACAGTGCTCCAATTTGTTGCCGAGTGGTTAAATAGTTCTCTTTTGTCAAGTTTTCCAACAAATCCGACAGTAAAGCTATAAATCTATCGTATTAAAGGGTTAACGACTTAGTAAATTTCTAATGCCGTGTGTTTGTAAACGGCGTTTCATCCTATCATATATATTAATTAAGAACTTGAGAAAACGAAGTAAATATTTTCCGACCAAAATGTTAGCAAACAAATCATTTTGACCAATTCAAAAAGTTTATGATTTATATTTAACGTTTAGCTAGTGTTTGGAGGTACAATATGTTTGATGGGCCTATCAAACTAATCGGTCTATGTAGCCTAATTAACAGTAAGTAGATTATTAACTATGATAATTAGGTTAATTAGGTTCTAAGACGATAGACTGTGGACTTATAAGTAACAGAGGAGGACTAAGGAGAGATAAAGTTCGATATTCACGCACAGGTATTTACCTATGTGGAGACTATCTAAATTCTTATAAATTGTATTTCTTATATAGGCCTATTTGTTTGTTAGGTGGAATAAATTATTTAGATGTTTTATCAAGAGTACGCAACATTGTTGGTGTTCGTACACAAGCAGGAACAAACTCCTTTTCTAACAGTTCCGTTTAAAACCCCGGCTTTGTTATATTTCGAATGTCCTCAACGGTAACTTGTTTAATGTTGGTTAAATAGTTGAATCAACACATAGTAAATTGTAAAACTAAAGCTTAAGAGTTTCTAACACTGTTTTAATGTTCATGTAGGGTAGAACCTTTGACTATTAATACAACTTCGGTATCCAATAGCCAATGGTAAAACATAAGAAATTGAATGGTCTATTGAATATTTTTAAGCGTTTTAAATATCTTTCTACAAGAAGGAGTTGCCTACTTTAAATTATGCAGGTGTGGCTGTTGGAAGTTTTAAAAGTTGTCTTGTAACTTATATTCCAACAAAGTGCTGCAAGATGTTATGTAGATTTCTTTAGTGTGTAACTTTCCATCACTATGCATATACTTTTAAGAAGAGTTATAACGAATTCTTAAATCTCGAAAAATGTATAATGCTTGTAAAATCCTTTAGAAACATTTTACACACAGTCTTAAATTATCACTAATAATTTATGATAGATAAAGTTTCAAACTACAGTATAACGTTAAGAATGTTTTTCGGTATATTTTAATCAAATCTTTTATAATTTCGTTTTGACCGGGTTTTGTCGTAAGTCAATGATTGTTGTAAGCAATTCTTTTGTAGATAAATCGTAAGCAAATATTATGTGAGTAAATCATGTGCAAGTAAATTGTGTATAAGTGAAAAAAAAACATGTGTAAGAAAAAAAAGTATTATGAAAACGAAGGGGGGGTTAGTTTTTATACGGATGTTTATTTTATAGCTTGAATAATGTTTAAATTTTAGAAAGTGTTATTTTTTTACTTAAGGTAAACCTGTATAGTTACAATTGTTAATCATATTGAATAAAGTGTGATTTATAATGTTAATGAACAAGTATGAAAGTAAGTTTAAGACGATTTTCAATGAATAATTGTTTTAAATTGCATATTAAATACAATATTTTATCTAATATTGTTTCTATATGTTTTATGTACATTTTGTTCTTGTATATTATCTTTTAGGTTATCATTGTGTAAGTAAAGTATAACGTAAGTAATTTATATATTAAGTAAACTATGTTATCAAATTATGTTCGCAAACAGTTGAATGATTTCAGAAGAAAGAGCTTGAAGGGGCAAAAAAGGGTGTAGCAAAATCAAATTTGTTATTTCATTGGGCTTGTGAGCAGGCGACAAGTCTTATTTGTCAAAGCCGGTTGTCGCTTTTAGGGAAGCCTCTGTCTATTCGAGTTTTTTCGTATCTTTGCTTCTTAATATTGCGAAACTTTTCTGAAAATTACACGATTTTCTTTTCGATCTGCGTTTGAAAGGAACTAAAAGTGGTATGTGTTGTAAGAAAGGGTAATAACCATGAACCTACTATTCTCATCCACGCCGATACTCAGATCTAAAATAAATTGTTAGAGGACACAAAAATAAACTTATAAGATTATAAATTCGGTGTTTAAAATTACAGTTTTGAATGTCCATTTTTGGATGTGCCATACATCTCTAACCAGTTGGACAGCAGTACAGTACATGTAAGAAAGTTATTAAAAGTAGGCCTACCCAACCCATTGTTTACTTAGGGCTGCATTACTTGTTTGTTCACTATCTATTTTCTTTGTATGAACACAATAAAATCGATTATAAAATAAACTAAACAAGAATACTCGTTCATAACTATGTGTTTACAAAAAATGCAATTGAAACAACTAGCACCAAATACAATAATAAAAGAAAACAATTGTCGCCATTATTAAAAAAGCAGCTACGGTTCGTCAAAAGTACATTTTTCTGTTTGGCAAAATTTCCCTTCTTAACAACTCTATTGTAGTTCAACCTTGTTCTATCAGTTAGCTTGTTCATTATAATCATGACCTCAATAATCCCCTTGTACTATTATCAAGCTGTGTTCAGTTTTCTTGTTTCAAGTCAGAACATGTTTTTAATTGCTAGTAACAAGGCTATGTCTGCTTTAGCAACTTGTCTAGACTAGACATTTCTGCATTCCTCTCATCAACTTCAGTACAAAATGAAAAGTAAGTTCTTATTTATGTATCGTTTATATATCCTGTCTAAACAATAAGCCAAAATATACTGGGACATTTCAAAACATTAAAACAACAAAATATACATACTGATTTATTTTTAGTAACTGAAAATGTCTTTACGGATTTTTTTTTATCTAACTATATGTTTATTTATTGTCGTGCAACTGTAATCTTTGAAAATATAACTAAATTTCTTATTGTATTTGATAAGTGTCTATATATGTATCTTTGTAAAAAAAAAATAAATTCTATTGATTTTAGAATGTTTTGATACATTACATAATGTTTCATTTATTGACGACTAGCAGAGTACCCGTCCTTCGTACGGGGTTGGCATATAAGTATCAAATGCTTATAGCAGTTATGAGTGAGGACATGGTTTAAGAAATTTCGGTTCTTTTTGAAGTTCGTTCGCTACTCTCACTCACCTTTAGGTTGGAGCTCGTTCGCTGCGCTCACTTTCCTTCAGGTTAGCTCGTTCGCTACGCTCACTTGCCTTCAGGTTAGCTCGTTCGCTACGCTCACTCGCCTCCAGGTTAAAGTTCGTTCGCTACGCTCACTCACCTTTTGCTGTTGTCATAAATGTAAAAGAAATAATAGTGCTAGTGCTGCACCCTGTTGGTAATCCTTGTAACTTTTAATGCTATTGAACATCATAGAACAGAACCAACTTGTTTAATTGAAACAGCTGTTGAGATTCATTAATTCCATTTCTCATAAGGTTAACATGGGAAACTCCAGAGCCACTGGGGCGGAGCCCCGAAGGATTTTTGGGATAAAAATATGCCTATATGTTAATCGGGAATGTGAGCTATCATCATGCCAAATTTCAGCCCGATCCGACCAGTAGTTTTTGAGATTAGCTCATACAAACACACACACAGACACCACCTCTTCTTTATAATAGTATAGATAGATAGATAGATATAGATAGATAGATAGATAGATAGATAGATAGATAATTGTTAATTGTTTATTTAATGTCAATTACATTATTTACAGGTTCAAAATAACTTGTACCGAGTTTTAGTAGTGTGGTGCCATGGTATATTTATCATTACACAACGAACATTTGTTTTGAAATAATTTTGAACGAAAGAAAAAAGAATTTTAAATTTTAAATTACTTTTGCTTTAATGTTATAAAACAAAATAAAATAAAAGTACTCGAGGGAGACTCAGTAATTTTTCAGAGTTGGAAAATGACTAGTTGTCTTTGATCAACCGTACAGTAAAAATTAAACTAAACCACTCAAAATGTAGTCAAACTCACTAGCAGTCACTCATGTAGTGAGAAACTATAAATTGTTTACTTTAAACTATGAAACCACATTTAATTACTAAAAGTTAACATGTTTGGTTTAATATTAAAAAATAAGGTCAACGAAACAAACGTCCTACCTTGTTTTGTAAGTCATGTTTATGCTTAAATAACATCTTAAGTCTATTCAACCAAATGTTATAGTGTCAGCGAGTATTTAAGATTTTATTTTACGCAGGTTTCGTTTAAATATTTTTTATAAGGAGACTGCATTTGTAGCCTACATAAAGGCTGTACAACAGGTTTACGCAGGGACATTTTTCAATACAGAAAAGGATTAGACCCATAAAAGTCTAGTATTTTTTATTCACTTGATTAAGGGCCATACTACCTAATGATAAAAAAAACTTCTCTTTTTCTCTATTATCTTGTTGTCGTTAACTTTTCCAAGCATGTCTAATTTATAATAAAAAAACAGCTGTTGTAGGGCATATAATGCGATATTTTAGTTTTTTTTTTCAAGTGTTGACGATATTAACATAGAAAAACTACAATCACAGGTTTGGGGTTGTGTGCAGACCACGAATTAAAAGATTTAATTCAAATACATGGCATATTCAATAACTTAAATTGATTAATAATTTTGGAACAGTTATTTGAATATGTGATGACATTTCAGCCTGAAATAGTTGCTGAAGAAAGTAGACTAACAATTGAAATTTAGATGTCCTCACCAATGCTCTGTTTTCTTCCTATAATTTAACTTGAATACTGTAATTGTAATCCTTTTAGTTTCAATTTGTATGTTCAACATGTGAGTTTGGTAATAAAGACATTTTGATGGTTATTAACTTATTTTTGCACAAATTCAGTTTTTGACCCTGTATTATTGGAATCTGCTACCACACTGTTTCCACGTTATTCGTAACATTATTAATTATTAAATACCCCCGCCGCAGTAAACCTGCAGACTAAGCGAATTTCCATTAGCCTGATAGGATTTCACATTAAAATGCCTCCTTAAAAATATCATATTTATTCCCTATTTAAATAGAATTATTTTAACGAGTACTTAGGTTTGCTGCAACAGGGAGGGTAAAAAGGTGGTTTTTTTAATGTTAATAGTTTAGTAAGAAATGAATGTATTTTCCAAATTCGATCAAAATATGTTCATAAACAAGTAAACTACAACAGTTGACGCATTTTAAATTTACAATTTTTTGGAATTTTCTCAGTAACCATTAGGCGCACAATAACGCTTCAATATACTAAATTATTTGTTTTTTTGAGCTCTACAAAATGGTTTGGAAATAAATTGTAAAATTTTGTGTTTTTAGGGTAAAAAATGGGAAAAACCTATTTTTACCCCATAAAACCCCCCATAAACCCCCGTTCCCATAGTCCGATCATGCTGGTTCGCGAACTCGTTCAAATAAATGTAGGTTTACACGTTTGTACCAAATTTCATCAAAATCGGATCATTTTTGCTCGAGTTATCGTGCTGACGGACACATATATATATAAATATATATATATATGAATTTGAACGAATGGTGTTTTTGGCCTCTAGGGACCTCAAAACGAAAAATCATATCGGTCCCGGGTCCAGGTCTTACCATGAGTACTACGGTAATAGCTTATTCCCTATATAGTCGGGGGGCAAACTGTATTCCGTGGGATTTTTTGTGAAGGGAATGTGTGACTATGTGGAATCTCTTTATTATATGTCACATAATGGTGTAGTACCGGGTGTTTACCCTCAAATTGCGGGGTTTGGTTTTTATGACGTCTTAAATCCAAGATGGCCGCCATGTGTGACATCTATTCATTAAATTAATAATAACTCTTTTCAGAGTAAAATAATCGAATTTTAATTTATACCATTGAATTCAGCTCCACAAATCAAACAATTTGGTGTTTTGAATCATTGCTCTATGACCATTAGTTACCGAGATATTGAAGGCGGAAAACACAGAACGTTGTCCCCAAGCAAGACCCCACTACCCCCATGTTATCCTTATGGGGAAAAAATAAAATTGTATATCTAGCTTATTACTCAGCATATCTTAATAATAATTGGTATGTGGCTTCATTTAGTAGATATCTACTTGATTATGGCCTAAAATCCCCCATTTTTACATTTCCGTGGCAGCAAACCTGCATACTCACTTCCCATGTTAATCTTATGGAAAATTTTTTGCATGCTTGTTTATGAACATACGTGTTGAGAAATGTTAATGTGTGGCACCATTTTAATTATTTATTGAAGCATTTGCAATTCGTTGAGTATACAGGTCTGCTGCTACGGGGTCATTGTAGCTATAAACAAATTACAGGTCTAAAATAGGTAGAAAATAAAATAAATTAGACTATAGTTTTGTGAGGCATATGTAATTTTGTAGGATTTTGAATTAAGCAATTGTATGATTGTTGGCAATAGATAGGTAATGATATGTCTGTAGTATGTTTTATCTATGGTGTGGCCAAGCTGGTGTTTTCGGCCTCCATCTTGGATCCGCCATATTGGATATTAATAACTTTTTTTATGCAATGCTAGTGTTGTGACACATCATTATGAACTAAATTTTCACGCTGATTTCAATGCTGAAATATGTTTTTAAATATCTTTTTTCGTTTGGAAGATATTCAAATAAAAACTCTCCTTCATACATTTCTTAAGGACGTTTCGTAAGGTCATCAGTGTTACAATTTTTAGACGTGGAACCTCTTATATGCCTTATATGTCTGATATGCATCATCACACATAATTTACTTTGTACTTACACCAACCAAATGTTGTAACCCTGATGACCAGCCCTATATGTCTTTAATTGCTTTAACCAAAGACAAATTTCAAAATAAAAATAATTATTCATGTTAAATAAAGGTCCATGATTAATTTTCAATTAGTCAGATTTCATTTAGTGACTAATACAATTTTAAACCAAACATTTACTGAGTAATTTGAGGCTAGAATGAACCCTTTGACGTATTAACAACCCGAGATATAAATCTTAAAAAAAAACTGATTTGGAAAAAGTTAAATTTAATATTGTGTTGTGGTTCATAGCTCAACTCTAACTCGTCCGATTTTAATGGTCGATAGCTTAAATAAAAGCTCTTACATCACTGAATACTTTAAGACTAGAACAAATTACAAGCGATAATAAGAACTGGATATATGAGAAAAATAATCTGAAAAATAATTAAAGTACGAAACGTCCGTAAGAAATGTATGGGGGGGGGGGGAGTTTTCATTTCAATATATCTTCGAAACGAAAAACGATATTTACAAACGGTTTTCGGAATTGAAATTAGCGTAAACATCTAGTTTATAATAATGAGTCACAACACCAGCATTAGATTTAAAAATTTGTATTAATATCCAATATGGTGGATCCAAGATGGCGGGCCAAAAACACTAGCTAGGCCACACTTTCAGACAAAACACCCGGTAGTACACGATTCTACATGTCATTACCTATCTATCACCACCAATCATACAATTGCTTAATACAAAAACACAAGAAATTACATATGACCCAGAACTATAGTCTATTTTATTTTATTTTATATATATCATTTGTGAGATTATTTTTTTATTGCTACAATACCCCCGTAGCAGCAGACCTGTATACTCAACGAACTGCAAATGCTTCAATAAATAATTAAAATGGAGCCACACATCATCATTTCTCAAAGTATGTTCATGGACAAGCATGCAAAAATATTGACCATAAGAATACCACGGGAAGTGAGTATGCAGGTTTGCTGCCACGGAAATGTAAAAATGGGGGATTTTAGGCCATAATCAAGTAGATCTCTACTAAATGAAGCCACATACCAATTATTATTAAGATATGCTGAGTAATAAGCTAGATATACAATTTTATTTTTTCCCATAAGGATAACATGGGGGTAGTGGGGTCTTGCTTGGGGACAATGTTCTGTGTTTTCCGCCTTCAATATCTCGGTAACTAATGGTCATAGAGCAATGATTCAAAATACCAAATTGTTTGATTTTTTGAGCTGAATTCAATGGTATAAATTAAAATTCGATTATTTTACTCTGAAAAGAGTTATTATCAATTTAATGAATAGATGTCACACATGGCGGCCATCTTGGATTTAAGACGTCATAAAAACCAAACCCCGCAATTTGAGGGTAAACACCCGGTACTACACCATTATGTGACATATAATAAAGAGATTCCACATAGTCACACATTCCCTTCACAAAAAATCCCACGGAAGCTGGATATGTGCAGTTTGCTCCTGGACTAATATGGGAAATTCGCTAAAAACATGTATTATTTGTATTCTTGACAACAAACACACATTGTATTTTAAACTCAGCCATCGTTTTGTTGAATAATTTTGACATATCAATACAAAAATTTGTAATGAATTGTAATGTAAACAAGGGCTATATATTATTGCTCTGGACAAGTTTAGACACAATACATCCCATGATATAGTATTCAGATAAAGATATATGTGAATCAGATATGAAATTATTAATGATATTTATTTTTAAAGATAATTTATTAGTGTTTACTCGAAAAAGGTTTGATCAATTTCAAGTTGTGTTAATTTATTAATTTAACTATCAATGAGCCGCTGCAGCATTTATTTGATTATGTTTACTTCTTTATTGTAGATATCTTGGCTTTGTGGAATTTAGAGTAATAATGTTTGGAACTGTTGTATGCAACAGGTTTTTGGCTGTGCAGATGACGAGAAGATTCATGTATTGTTTGGTCTGTGGTTGTGAGTTTTCTGTATACTGTAAATCATAGTACAGAAAATACAATACACCTACAACACGTAACTTGGTACAAAATCTCATGTACTTTTGTTTAAGTTAGCAAATTTTTATTCATTCTAAAATGTTCCAGTCCCAATATTGCTGTGCCTCTGCCTGGTGCTTTTAGAAGAAATACATTGTTGTGCAGCTAGGAACTCTAAAAGGCATCGCATAACAGACAGTAAGTTGGAAAAAGATCATACAAGTCTCGAGAAACAAAGATGCTCAGAAGTACGTCAACGAATTGGGAATCTCACAGCTGCCGTGACAGGAGCTGTACGAGGTCATGACCTGGGAATCTCAGCTAACTTAGAAAAACACAATAGAAGACGCTTAGATAGAGAGCAAAGGCTACTAGAACGACTTGGATGTGAAAATATAGAGAAAGCCATCAGCAATGCTACAACCGGCCTAAGCAATAGAATAACGAACAGCAAGATAGCAGATAGAATAAATATTGCAGATAGACAAAAAGGAAATTCAACTGGTACTGAAGATAAAGGACAAAGGAAAAACAGAAACAAAGTGGGGGAAGGAAATAAAATTGCTGAAAGGCAACAATCCAAAGGAAATTCTAAAAAGGATAACAATTCAGTCAAGAAAAATAAAGTTGAAGACAGACAGAAAGTAGCAGAATCTACAATTGGAAATTTAACAGGATTAGTCGGAAAACAAATAAATAAAGTGACTGACAGACAGCAAAATGTCAACAATGGTACTAGAACTGCAGTTAAACAGAACTCAAATAAAAATAACCAAACCGTAGCAAACAGAGTAGTTGGAGGTGTACTTAAACCGGTTAAACAGAGTTTAAACAATGTAACCAAAGTTTCAGGAATACAAAAAGCGGGAAACGCTACCCGTGGATTTTTAGGGAATGTAGGCAAAGGAATCAACAGTATTCTGGGTATACATGAGTCTGGTAATAGCTGGGGTGGATTGATTCAGGATAGGCAGAAGAATGGGAACATGATGAAGAGAAAACCTATAGTGAAGAGACAGGCTTATCCTGATGCAGAGACGACGACGGTTGCAGAAACTACAACCATTGCAGAAACAACTACTGCAGCTGCAGAAACTTCTACTGCAGGGCCAGGAGGCTATCCTTCATAGGATGGTGTTTATGTAGGATGTGTTTAGTTGAAATTCGTAATTTATGTCTGTTAGTTAATTTTACATCAGTAAATCTTTTAATGGTGAATTTGTTATTTATTCATACTAACTGACTGAGTAATAGTAGTATCAAAATTTAAAATTCTAGATTGGGTGGTTTGTGAAATAAAAAGGCATTAGTTTCAGATGGGAGCTTAGTTTATTTGCAAATGTGCAATAAACCAACATTGATTTGCCCTGCGGATTTTCTATATAACACTGAAAGCAATTTGGCTAGAGTGAAAGGTTACGAAAAAATTATGTAAAAAATGTTATTACAAAGTAAGTTGGTTTCATTTCCATAGCTCATCGGTAACTTTAATATCTTACGAACCACTATTAATGAAAACTTAGTTTTTAAAAGTTACAATTTTACCGCTATGGTTTCATTTTTTAAAAATAATCTTGCTAATCCATGATTTATAATTTTACACTAGGCATCCATCTTTACCTACTATCTATCTTTAGAGATAATAAACACACATTTTATGTTGGTCAAGTACTTTTCACCCCCAACGACATACTAAGAGTATTTCATTGAAGTTACGTCACATGGAAGCTTTTAAGACCCTCAAGGATCGTCTCGGGTCACGGCCTTTACATCCACCTAACTTTACCAACCAAATGCACTACTTCACCTCAACACCTTTACTAAATAAGAGAAATTTCTACACAAATTACATTTTATATTATACATATATTTATTGCATACTTATTGATTTCTTTCACCGAGTAGTAAAGGAGTAGTTTTTAATTTGGCTGTAAATTTATTTTCCCTTCACTTTATTGAAACATTAAATAGACATATTTTATCAATAGGGGGTAAACTATCTACAAACAAAATTAGACTGGTTTTGCTCTAGATGTTTGGCGTTTCATTGATTTGTGTTCTCAATGAATAAAAATAAATAAATGGAAACGTATTTGTTGTAAAATATGGCTATATCAATTCGCAAATAATATTAAACATTAGGGAAATTGATGAAGCTTTGGTAAATAATTATGACAACCTACTTTGGTAAGGTTTTAACCTATTAAATGATTATGCATTCATGATGGACATATAGAATAAATATTAAACTTTCAAAGTAAATTCATGGATGTGAAGCAACGAGTCTCATATTCTTGTAATGACAGGTATATCTTGCACATTAAGCACTAATATGAATTAATATGCTTAAAAGGAAGAATTAAAAGTAATCAAATCTAATTGCACTTTCAATGACTACATAGTCTTATAGTTTTATCTTACGAATTATTAGTTAGGAGCTGTAATTTCATCCCTCAAACTCGTTGATAAAGGAAAATGATTTAAGTTATAAAAGCCTTAGTTGGCGAAGAAACTTTTAATTACAGACCCAAACTTGAATATTAATTGGAGGTAGTTAATTTTTTAATCCAGAAGAAAAATTTGAAAGTCACTCTTGTGATGGAAAATGAGTTTTAAAATAATTTTGTGATAGAAATATGAGTGATAAAAAACATAAATACATTTTAAACTTGTTTATTTATATTTTAAATTATAAGTAGTGAAAAATATCAATGTATAATATTTTTTATAAACTGTCTTTGGACACCCTTGTGAAATTTTCTCAACAGTTGATGTAGGAAGTTTTAAATTTTACTTATTGGTTTGTCATTATATCACCAATTCAGTTCTACTTGACGATATAATAGATTGATTTTGTTAATAACTGTCCGTTTTTTAATCAATTAAATCAAGCATACTAATAAGCAGTTTCGTGAAAATAAATTAAATATTTGTTCATAAAATATTTCAAACACGTACCAAGGTGACATATTTCTCAGAAACATAGCATTAATGAGAAGTACAATGAATACATGTGCTGAAGAACCATTAATCATACATAGAGAAAATATTAATTTAAAGAAAAAAAACATAATAAAATAGTACATCTTGTCAATGAACGCAAAATAAAGGAATATTAACTTTAGCAAGTAATATCTCCTGCGCTTCACTATCTAGTGATGCGATATTTTCCAATTTGTAAGCAACAGCTTTCGATAAACAGCTCATTACATGCTACACGCTACCTTGTCTTGTCAAAGGCAATTAGTTAGCGAAGCACAAATTGAAACAGCTACATGGCACTTATAAGTAACGAGTCAACTACGTCTATAAGAAATTCCCTTTTGACCTTAAGCATACATATGATGTATGTACTTAATAAGTGTAGATATCTAAATGTTTGTTCGGAAACTCAGGTAACAGCCCCATAACGTGTAGACCCTCCTGTCAATGTGCTGATACTGCATCAGAGATCCCATGAAACTGGCCGTGTCGTTCATAGCCCGTTTTAAGGTCGATTCACACACATCAGTTACGGCACGTCGCAGTCCAGTCACTTCAGGCACGTCACAGTTAACAAAAATATTCTTTGATGGATTTTCTATTGCGCTATCTACACTCATCCGTTGCAGTCCCGTCAGTCACTCTGCTGGCATCCGTCAGTCAATTTCAGATTTCTTTCCAACGATACTTTTTGATTGTTCGGACGCCTGACGGAACTGTTTGAGGTTAGAAAATAGTGTTATTGTTATTTAAATGGTTGCATTTGTATTTTGAGTACTGTTTGTAACAATCAACAAGATCGACAATGATAATTTAATAGAATATAGGCTTAAAATTTAAATTGTTTGACTGTAAATTACTGTAAATATTAGAGACGGAAGACTGACTGAAACCAACTGACGGACAATTGACTGAGAAATTGCGGATGCAACTGTGACTGGACTGTAACTGGACTGTAGCGGAACTGTGACTGGACTGATGTGTGTGAATCGACCTTTATGTTAACTACTCTGGACCCTTCGCTTAAAAAGAAGGCGTCGTATAGTCTAAATTTTCACTGAAGCAACGGTAAAAATCTACATTCATTTTGTTTACCATTGATTGGTAAGGATGTTAGAAAAGGTTGAATTGCCCATATAGTGCCACTATTACTGTTTCGTTGGATTTGAAGATTCACTAGGATTAAATATTTTTAATAAGCTCTTTGATAACGGATTGGTGCAAATAACCTTTTTGTAAAAAATTGACAATCACTGCTGTCTACAAATATTTTAATCGTTAAAAGTACTGTGATTTATATTTAAATACTTTATTTGCATTATTGAAAAAAAAATCTTTATCTTAATAAGGTGGAAATCTTAAATATTGAAGAATATTGAGAATATTGATGGGTCTTAGAACAGACACATCACGTTATGGGGATAAAAACACTGAACTAGTAGTTTACGCAAATCTACGAGTGTCTTAAAGGCTTGAGTTGCGTACACTACTTGTACCTACGACTGTTTTGAATTACTAACAATCACTACTCTAACTTCTAAGAGAGGTTATGTTTTCGTTTATAACCTCTCACTGCCACTGATTGTGATGCAATGACTCATTATAACAAACACTCACTCATAATCAATTAAATTTTCCTTAACAGCTGATAAGTTGATGTTCAAAGCATTAAAATTTTACTTCTTTTCTGCCAATCATTGAACCTCATTGGTCTAAGCTTGTACTGTAAAGTAACAAAACAACGCTGTTAAGTAAGTAAAAAATACTGTTAAGTGAATATTTTCAACTCTAACAACTTAATAAAGATGCTAGTTCAAAAAAAAAAAAAAAAAAAAAAACTGTCGTAGGTAAAAAAAGATGTGCACTTAGAGGTAAAGTGTGGCTGAGAAATGTGTTTGCATTGACGAGTGTCGTGGCGTGGGTCGGTGGTTGAATAATTTACCTAAATTGCCCCAAGAAACATCTGCTGATACATCATCTCCGGCGTCAGGTGTGATAAAAACTGGTTTTATGTTTATAATAATTATTATACATTTCTTAAAATGGAAATTATTAATGGATTTAAATAACTTATGTTTATTATTTTCAAAAGGTAACCACACAAACCATATAAGAAAAAGCTGAACTTTGTACACCTATGGTGAAACATGATTTCTTACCCTTGGTTGTAAATATCCTCATCCATTACCATTATTGTTATTTTACACAATATAAACCAAAAACTCACTCAGTCATAACTGTAAACATTAGCATAAATAACCTTCAAACTATAACATAACAAAGACTAAAAAGTATAGGGGCATAATTTATTTTTCTCTAGAAGAACATTAAGTTATCCATGTTGAATTTAAATTTAGTTTTTATTTTATCTACATTCCTTTGATGAAAGATATAATGATTATATTTAACTGTAAATAAACAATTGAAGCTCGCAAAGTTACTAGTGATGCACCACATTTATATAACAAAATAGAATTTAAAAAAAACTACAGGAGTGGTTATAGTAAAGGAAAAGAATGACAGATTCATAAAACTTTATCCAAACATTTTTATTTCCCTCCAAAATGCGTCCCATTCCCGCCACGGCGCGGACGTGGTAATGGCCAATTCCTCTCCAGTTATAAAAGTTTCTGACGTTATTTGCCCAATAACTCTTCGTCAAGATGGAAGAGAGCAATCCAGTCATCCGTCTTGTGATAGCATTACCCTGCTCTGCGGTCTGTGAGAAATACATCACATGTTGTATGTATTTTATGTGTTTCACACCTTGTTTGGAGGGGGGGATTTTGTAGGGTAACACTAATTCATATTAGATAAAGTTGTTAAAATAGGAAACAAGTAGGATCTGAGTTTCAATTGAGTAACCCAAAGCCAAAACCTAAAGGCATACAAATATAATTTCCGATCAAGTATTTGGGTAACAATAATAGTTGCATAGGTGGTCACGTCACACAAACCAAGTTTGATATTATAATTCTACAATGACACTAGGTAAAGAGTTAATTATCTAATATTTGGCAGATAATACATAATAGGCTGTAGACTCTGCTGACGTGATGCTGATTCTGCATCAGTGAACCCATGAAACTGACCGTGTCGTAAACACTTTGTTTTATAGAACCATCCGTGGAATTTTTGTCGAGTATTAAAGGCATATCAGCAAAAACACCCTTAATCATAAAACAGATTCAATTGTTCAACTAGTCTGAATTTTTAAATACATAGGAACCCCGATA